AGCACGGGGCTGCCCTTTTGTGTAATTTCTATAGGCATTAAAAAAAAAAACAAATAAAACACAGACTGGGGATGTTTAAGCACATATGTTCTGTTTGTGTTTAGCTCGCTTACTATTGGACTCCCCTCAGTTTAATGAACCCTTGAAAAAAAAAAAAAAAAAAAAGCACGATCTTAAAATTACAAGGCCGAAAGGGATTCAACGGCAACAGTGGGGCCTAGTGTGCATCACCAGCAATGTACAACATTCACACTTTTCTTGGGGAATCCTACATACCTTAAAGTAAAACTTCCATGAAAGACTGTGGCTGGAATTCCTGTCCTCCCCAAAATACTAGTTACCTGGCTGTCAATGCTGACTCCTGGACTTCAATACTAAGTCAATGCCCCCAAAAGAACCAGTACCTAGTTTAGGAAACTCAGAGGAGACAATTCCTTATCTGCATACTGTACTTGCTTCAATTCAGCGGCTCGAAGTATTGGGGCCAGAGGGCTAGCATGATAACCAGACAATTAGCATTTTCAGAAGCTGACAATGGCAGTCTTGCTTCTCTCATAAGAGATTTTCTTTTACAATATATTGCAGAAATGGATCAATGAAACACAAAATGTCCAGGAAATACATATGCATGTACACCCTAAAATTGTTTGGCATATAGACAGCCATTTTATTTTGAAGATCCTCAAACAACTCCCCTCTGGAAACTGAAATCAGTGCAACATTAGTACAACCGAAGGACCAGAAATGTGGATGTGCAGTGAGACGAAAAAAAAACCCTATACAAACAAATTAATGCCCATTCTCTAGGTGTGACAGAAATTCTCATTTCATGCATCAAGTATAAAAAGAAAACTGTAAGCCAAAAAGTATATATATAAAACTTTCTGCATTGCACTTTATAGAGGACACAGCTGCAGGACTTAATACATGCAAATGAGATGCAGGAGTCTCCAGTACCAGCGGCAATCGGAAAGCTGCAGAGGACTATCCAAAAAAAAAAAAAAACCTTGTAAAAGGACATTATTCACTAGGAAAACATGACCTGTAGCGTAGTCTTTATTTAAAATACATTCTATATGTAAAGAGACCCACTAGCAGCAAAAGGGTAGGTCCCAAAAGACAATGAAAACATAATATATTAGGGTATAGTTAAAGAAAAAAAAAAAAAAAAAAGAAAACTTGTGAGTCACTGCATCATTGCATTGTGTGTGCGGCTATACATCTCCAACCCAAGATTATTAAGCAGATATATTAAAGGTGCAGTGACATGGGAGGTATGTACTAGATACAAAGCCATGTTAGTGTACTCTACAAGAGTGTAAAAATAACTATGTAGCTTTATATTTGTATACCTCCACAGAGGTTGTGCAGAACACTGAGCATCAAGAGATGGTGGCATTAACCAGAAAGGCAAAGGGAAGCCCATCTTGGTGCCACTTGGGCAAATACTTTAGAACTTCTGACTTGTATTAACACAAAAACCATGTGTTGATCCCTCTCTTCTAAGATATTTCCTAAGTGCAAAGGATACCTATTTTGGGGATATCTTTTGAAGTAGATTCTCAATGCCCTCTTGTGCAAGATTCTAAGACTTCAATACTATCTGGTATACACAAGACAAAATTGAGGGATTAGAGGAGGTACTCACATCTCACAGTGGCACTGCACCTTTTAAATGAGACAAAAAGTGTCACTTGTCTACCTACAAGGAGCGCAGACACTCTTAAAATGTTATTTACAAAAGAAAAAAAAAAAACACAAAATAAAAACCAGGTCAACCATGCAAGACAGACAAAATATGTTTTTGGTGAAAATTAAGACCAGACCTTTGGAGTCCCACCAGCAATGCATTAGTTACCAACAATTCCTTTCAGTATTATTTCTAAGTATTTTTTTTCTGACTTTTCAGTATATAATATTTTTCACTTTTTAAAAGAGCAGTTAGTAAACTTTACAATAGAGTATAAAATATTTCCTGTACATACTCAGCAGAAAGCCTATTTGAAAAGGTATTTAGGCCTAACTGTAAAAATCAAGCCTGAGGATTCCTTGTGGACACATGAATGAATAAAAGTGAAAATAGAAAACTGGAGTAGCACACAGAAGAAATGTATCAGCATCAGGATACTGGATCATCATTTTTTCTTACCACAAGGGCAAAAAGAGCTGAAGTTGAGGACTTATGGCTTACCAGACTTTGTAAAACAAACTCCCAGCAACTAGAAAGCCACAGGCCATCTACGGAGTTGAGCTATGTGTTAGCCTCCAGTGATTGCGGGAATGCAAGTCCAATAGCTTGCTAACTCACCACTGAGGAGCACCAAGTAGCCTTTGCTTGATAGTAAAGATCGCCAAGCTGCCAGTTGTTTTATGACCCTGAATGAAGATGTAGCTAGGATCTATTATGAATATCATGGACACCCTCTGGGTCATCACTTTCTTACGTGGATGATATCTGGAATAAAAGGTTTTTCCCTTCAAAAGCACAAAGGACACAAATGTCTTTAACAATAATAATCACTTGCCAATCAATCCTTTAGATGAATTTTAACACAAGAATGGACACCCTTTTATAGCTCATATGATAAAACACCACAATAATGTAAAACAGCTTACATCTTTTATCCCAGTCAGTACCTAAACTGTTCAACGGACTTAAAACTGCAGGACAATTTAAACACTCTTCAACACCATAGCTGTAACTTGAGGATAGAAAAATTCAATGTTCCAAGGTAATAATAAATTTCATAATACATGCAGAAATTATAACCTCTATATAACCTTTATAATTGATGTCTGTACACAATAGGGGGACCATTTGGTGTCCAAACCATTGTCTATGAGATATAATATCAATGTCCCTATTACAGAAGCTTTCAGGATACATGGTCAGATATTTTATACATGCATGCCTATTTTGCGTTTTCCTGTGCACCATACAGCAACCAACATTAGCACAGTGTTCTAAAAGCTTCCTTAAACTGCATTTCACTTGCAAGCTGCAAGTGAGATAAATCATTGCTCATACATCTATCAGTTATCAACTACTTTTTAGGTCTATCTGCCCTGTCCATAAAGAGGTCTTTCTATGTTGGATTTTTCATTTAGTTTCCAATACAGGAAAAGGAAGCTGACTATAGCAGATGTAATGGACACACCAAGCTGGGGGGGATCTGACCAATTAAGGCTCCAAGTGTAGAAACCAGTAGAGAACCAGCTACTACAAGTTACAAAAAGACTTCCCTTTAAACACAAGGCTATACATCTCAGCTAATGGATTATGATTTTAAGGTGGACACATATATTAGGGAGTCAGACTAGCAGGTATAATCTGACTAGCCTCAGGTGTGTGGGCTGCCTGCTGGGCTCCTATAGAATTTCCACTTAGGTTTTCAGTGTCTACAGAAAAACGGCAGGGGCAGAAGGCTGCGACACTTTCAGTACTGGTTCATTATGGTGAAAGAATTGTTTGGCATCCAATTTCACCTAAATAGGCCAGTTCTTGTACCTCAGACATCAAATGATCACCCAATCAAACTGAAAACAGACATCTACTGTCTATGGACACCTTCAGCACAAAATCGCCAGCTAGTTATTTTTATGAGTTGGTTGTATTATATTATTTAATGAACGCTATCCTGAAATTACAGATATAGATGAACGATGTGTATCTTGTTTCAGCAGCAAAACTGTATTTGGCATTGTATTGTTAGTGTGCACCATTGCAAGACTGGACATTCAACACTGAGTCACGCAAAACAAAATATCACAAAATGATAGTTTTGTTTAAAACCCTGAAATACCAAATAAGTGATTATACAGACTTTCATATACAAGCTGTTCCTTCCTTAATTTAACCTTCTTATCTTCTCTATTCTTTGTTCCGATTTGATCTCTTCCCTATGTGGTGAGCACCTTTAGGCACGATCTATATGTATATGCCCAAAGATCTCAATCATGATGGGATTCAAAAACACTGGTCAGTACGGCTATAGTTTTTTTTTTTCCTTTTATTAGGTATGATTTTTCTGTCGGTCTGTATTTTACCCTCTCCTACATGCATACAGATAAAACTCTCTGTTAACAAAATAAAAACAAATAAAAAAAATATACATATATTTATATATTTATATATATAGGTTAAAAAAACAAAAAAAAAAAAAACAAACGAAACAAAAATAAAAACACCAAGATGGAGTACACCGAATATTTCCAGATAAGATCTGAAGGAGAAGCCACTTGATGCAGAAGAGTCTGTATTTCAATATTGATGGCTTGCTACCAATACATTGCACAGTCGACATGAATGGTGCCGAGACTGGGGATGGGTGGGTTTAGGAGTAGGAACACAGGGCTGTTTTTTTCTTTTTTGATTTTTTAACAAACCCAAAAAAGCCTGTAACGTCAGTTAAAATTGTGCATCAAAGTTTCAGTTTTGTTATACAAAAATCTGTTTTTTCCCCCCCCTCCCCATTTTCAATAGAGTCTTTATGTTGTCCTTGTCATTTAATATATCTTTATATTAAATAGCTTATAAAGAAAATGTAAATCTCAAAGTGTTCCAGGCAAGCTTAAGAACAATTTTAAAGAACTGATAATGCTTGCTTTTTTTTTTCCTTTTTAATCTTGACTTTGTTGAATGCTGTTGTTCTCTTGTAGTTGACATGTACAAAAAAAAAAATTCTCACTTGAGAGCCCAAGTGACTCCATTTTATAAACACTCTCTCTGAGGCACAGTAAGATGTTGTGCTGTGTGGGTTCTAAAGAGGCAAAAGTTCAGTGCTTCTGTTGTACAGGGTAACATTTTTCCTCCCTTTCGAACTCTATAAAGTTTGTAATAATTTGTGTGCGCTCATGGCACACACTCCATACACTCACACATGCACCTATTCATGCATACAATGGGGAACCTCCTCCTCTTCCTGTGCATATACGTAGAATTCTGTATATGAATAGATAGGTTTTTTTGCTTCATATAGATTTTTGTTGTTTGTTGTGTTTTAGTTTTCAATGTCTTTTCGTGTATGTTCGCTGCTGGAAAGGCAACCGGGCTTTGCCCAGCGTTGTTCTTGTAGATCTTTAACAACTTTTTCCAAGTGTTCTCTGGCTTCTCTCTCATGTACAAGATCTGTCCGCAGCTTTTCTCGGTCATTGTCTGCTTGCTGGAGTTTTGCTTGCAATTCTTCGATCTGAAATGGGTAAAACACAAGAGTTAATATAATGGGAGCATGACACATTGGCAAATAGGTTCAAGATCAAATATAGAAAAACAAACAGAATGAATATAAAAAACGTGCACAATAGTCTGATTCTTCCTGTTGAAAGGTGTGGGAGGAGTTTTTGCCACAATCATTGTGCTTTACTGGGGTCAATATACATTTGCACAAGTGTCTGGTAGAAGACCACAGTTTAACCTTTTCTATGTCACTTGATCTTACAGAATACAGGTGTACCTCGGTTTACGAATTTAATGTGTTCTCCGGAATGGTTTGTATTGCAAAAGATTTGTAAACCGAAATGTGGTTTCCCGTAGGAATGCATTGAAAACCAATTAATCCGTTTCGGAAGTCAGAAAAAAGTTAAAAAAAAAAAGTCGCTGTCACTATATGTAATTACCGGCTTTTTTTTTTCTTCACTACAGCTCACAGAATCGGCTGTCACTTTCTAAAAGAGAAAGTTTCCTTCAGTTAAAAGACACAATGTTTCCTTTTAGTTTGTTTCCCAAGATAAAAGAAAAAGTATCCTTTAGCTCCGGGGAAAGTGACAGCTAATTCTGTGCGCTTTAGTGAAGGGAAAAAAAGCTGGAAATTGCATTTAAAAAAATCGGCACCGACATACACTTCGTATTTCGAAAAAAATTCATAAACCGAGGCATTATTTTCGTTCGGAAACCGAAAATTATGTTACCGAGGCGTTCAAAAACCGAGGTACACCTGTATTCATTAAAAAAAAAAAAAATCTAAGGAAGTAGAATTTCAATGATAAAATTCTCAATGTATAATAATATAACTTTTGTGATTCTTTACAAATGGATAAAATGTGATAAATTTCTTGCTACAGCTTAACAAAAAACAAATGGTTATGTCCAATACTAAAGGGTGACCTTTATTACAAAGGAAGCCCACTCAAGGGCATGATGTGGTGGTAAATAGAGCTAGCTTATCTTTGTCCTCCCTTTCTATATCTGCTAGAGAAGGATGCTGGTTAAGCAACCCTACCCTGACCTTGACTGAGGATGTCGCCTGCCCTTTACTGTTAGATGTGCAATAACATGTTGATAATCATTTCACAAATCAGTGCAACATCAGAATACTATTAAATTGTTTCTGTTGTCCATTCCCTTAACTTGAAATTCTGTTTAATGCTGCTGAATGCTGCAAAATACACACATTTTAAAACCACTCTCCAGATAAGCTCCAAGCCCCATTCATTGACTCTCCCTATAGCCATCTCATGAAAAGAAATTAGGTCAACAATTTTGAATTCTTGTGTACAATCAGGAAAGCAGCTTGCAGGGCTCACCGAACCCCCATAACCAATAAGGTTTTAGGTTTCACACAGATCTTAAGATTCTGGTTGTTTAACACTTGCCTGTTCATACTTGCCTAGTTTCTGATGCACAGCTTTAGAAGTTTCCTGCACTGGAAATATACTCAGCAACAGATAACATATAGTAAACTGACTGCAGGGAGACCGTGTTCCCCTTTGGCAGTGTCACCAGGGAGACCGCAAAGGATTTTATTCCCCAAGGTGACTGTGAACTAGAAAAACAGTGACAAGCCATGTTTTCTGAGCAGCACCCAGCTGCAACTTGGTGTTTAGCTCTCAATAGAAGAGAGCTGCAGGTAACACCCATTGCAGAGTTCTCACTCCGGTAATGTTTAGTCTGGAGGCCTCTTATCAGCTTGACGCTTGGGAGGAAATCCACATCATTTCCTGGTTTGGCCTGTCTCACATCAGTATAATCAGTCTACTCCCCTTCCCGCAATTGACTGAGTATTTCAAAGAAACTCAAACTGCTTTCTTAGTCAATCTGCTGCACACAGGCCTATTGCCATCACTGGAGAATCATTAGCTAGCAATAATTTCACAAAAACTACGGCAATCTGGTGCAGTGCTTAAAGATATGACTCTTTCTGGAATATATTTTGGCAAACTAGGTTAGGACTGCCTAATTGGATTCCACAAGTAGTAAAGAGCCTTGCAAAATAAAGGATCTTAAGGTGGCAGTTACAACTGCTTGGTGACGGCCTTGGAATGGTACATTATAGTAGTCTTGAGTGCTCCAAACCATGCCCAGGAACAGTTAAACAGTGCCTGGGACCATCTCTTCCAAGTGGTCCCAGGCACAGACCATTTACTTGCAGTCTGGTATGGTTCTTTTTAATGCGAGTGCAAATTGTGCCTGAGAACAGAACTCACAGAAGCAGGGATCACTGTGGTATGGTTGGCAGAGGTGATGATGTACGTGTACCTAGGAACACTTGCTTATTGCTCATTGTGAGTGCAGACCAATGAGACTGGGGGGACAAACGACCTCTGGCACGGTTCAGGTCCAATGTGCCCAGTGTGAGTGCACCCTTACAGAACACAATTAGACACTGCTCCTGATTTATCAAACTGCAATAGAGTTTAAGGTGTGTTACTGAGTGCAGGTAAAAATATGACAGAATGGTTAAAAGACCACTTTAGTCCACCTTAAGTGCCATCTAGCCAACTAATTATTCTGCAGCCTGATTATTCATTGCCAATACACTTCACTGACCTGGCTTCATGTAAGAAACGTAGTTGCAAAAGTATTTTTCATACTTTTGCGCATTTGGATTACTTTTTTTTTTTTTAAAAAGGTCTTCATAAGTACCTGGGCAGAATATTTCACACGTATTCGGCCAGCCTCACAGCCCTTGTCACACACTCTAATCTGTCTGGCTTGCTCCAGCTCTCTTTTCAGACGTAACCGTGACTCGTTTGCCTCTTTCATCTTCTTTTCGTTTTCCGCTCTGAGCCGTTCAATTTCTTTCCTTAGGTTGCGTTTTGCCTCTGTTGCTTCTCTCAACTTTTCTTTCTTGGCAACACGGAGAAACTCCAGCTCCTAAATGACAAGATGCCAAGGAAGAGGGTCAGTTCCAATTCTGGCAGAAGAGTACTGTCTACAAGCACACGCCTGTTACCTTTAGCACTGTGTTGATTGTAAGAACACAGGATAACAAGAGTGCTTTATAAAATGGTCAAACACTTTTTCCAACACCATTATAACCAGTGTTTGGTCAAAGCCACGAGCTTCATATTATACTAGACCTGTAGTTCAGAAGTTGGTGTTTGTCATTACAAAACTACCAGGTCAGTTGACATTAGGGGGACTTGTAGTTCCTCTACACCACATTCAAACTCACATGTATCCAATACACAGAATAATAGGCCAAAGGTAAGTAGCACACAACCTGTTTACAAAGGTCAGCATGTCTTGTAATTGGCTATTAGGGTATGCTAGGTCTTAACTCCAGAAGAGCCCCACTGTCATCTTAAAGTCCAACTTTCACTTGTACTCAAAAGAAGCAGTCATTGTGTACGTTGAATGAACGCATGAGAAAACTGGACAGACGGCAAAAGGCATTTCAATCCCTGCATTCCTACGCATGTGTGACATTTTTACCCTATATCTATAAAGCTGTATTGTCTAGGTAACAGAGCAGCTGCTTATGGTTGAGGTTTCCTGTAGAACTAGAACAGGGCAGGTAAGTCACTAGACATTTCCTGATATATCATCAGACTGTGAAAGTTCACAGGATAAAACATGGAAGGAGGGGGGGTAGAAGGACCAGAAGTGAGACTTCCTCTGGCTCTCAGATAGCAGCATGCACAACAACATGTTTCTGTTAAGTAAACACCCTGCAGCTAGGTCATGGGAAATCCTTTTCCCTTTACAATAATGTGACAACCCAGCCAAGCCATTGTTAATGTCGGTGCACTCCTGACTTTCTCTCCACCAGAATTAGGAACTGGAGAAGAGGAAGCTGCAGTGATTCATCTTAGAGAGACAAGCAATGACTGACTGACTAGTGATCACAGACAATGAAGGGCAAAAAAACCTAAGAATACATAAAGCTATTGATTTAGATTCGGTTCATTTCTGCAGGTTGTGTCTTAATCACCAGCCCTGGTCTGACAACGGTCTCTATGGTGCTTTCCTTTCTTAATACATTAAAATTAGCTGTCCTTCGAGAGCTCTGCTGACAACACCACCATGGAAATGGTCACCAGGGATGGTAGAGTAGGTAAGCAACATAGGATAAGCCAATTAAAAAGTGGACCAAATATTCTTTAATATGTAAAGTTCTCCTGAACTGTTAAGTCCCTTTTATTTGGACTGTACCTGAAAGACCAGAGTTGACAACTAGTACAATCTTGGACTTGATAAAAAGGCATTGGGTAAAATGGTTAGTTACATATAAAACTAAATACAAGGATGAAACTGTGAGCAGGTATCAAACCACCCATTGGCCTGCATCTACATCCAGTCTAGTAGCTCTGGCCCCTGGACACTCTCAGTGGGACCTATGTATCCTAAAGGCACTGTACTAGTGCAGACTCCGAAACCGTAAACTCCATTGGTTAGTTGTGAAGAAATCACAAAGAGCTAGGACAGTCTAGAAGAATCTGTATCCTTCCCCGTGGACCAAGTGTGCCTATTGAGAAGTATTATTCATTTAGCTTTAGCTAAAAAATGGCCACTTTGGTGTCTTACTCTCAAACAGCATTGAAACAAAGATCATAGATTGCAATGAAGCTACCCTACCTGCTGAAGGCTCCGTTTGGCCTGCAATGCAGCATTCAATTTCTCTTCTTGTTTTACTCTCATCTTAACTACTTCATGAAGGAACTTCTCTTTGGCTTCCTTGGAGTCCAGACCACTGTCCAGGGCTTGCCGAAGGTGCTCCAGCTCTGCCTCTAGCCCACTGCTAAGGGAATCTCCATGAGGCGCCACTTCAAAGGAATGGTTAACTGCAACTGGGGCTAGCATGCCTGGGGAACTCAACTCCTTGGCGGAGCTGGAGGATGTGAAGGAAGGAGATGAGAGCGAAGACAGTGAGGAAGTGACTGCAAAATAGGAAAAAAAATAATTGAGATAATCTGTTCTTGTTCTGATCACGCGGTAACAATTCAAGTAAAACAAAGAAAACTATATAATTACACAGTGGGAAGTATGTTCACTAAAATAAAAAAACAAATAAGAAAAACTTAAAATGGAAGTCCTTAAAGAACTGCAATGGCCTCATAACAAAAATTCAACATACTAACAGGCCATGGTTGCTCTCTCAAGATCAATGAACATCTGAATTTAATTTTAGGTGTGTGAAAATGTGTAACATGTAATCCTATACAAAGTATGAAATGTCTCTTTAAATATGGGCAATAAAAATGCCTAGGCAATTTTCTCCTTTATAATACAGCCACGTATCATAGGACACTCAAGACACAAACAAGAGCGTGATGACCTGTACGTGACCCATATGATTCATCCACCAGTCAAACGATACCCAGCTACAGAAGAACAGTGCAGATTAAATACTGGAACTTGACTCGTAAACATAATCCGTTCAATCTTTGATCTATAATTTCTGTTTCAACACCCACCTTCTGAGTTGCGTAAACATTATTTACAAGCTATGTTGATATTTTTATGATGGTCCCCTAAGAAAATGGCAGTACAGCAAGGACCCAAGTATCATTTCAGGTAAATGGGCAAACACGGCTACCCAAGTAGTAGCAGTAGTAGTAGTAGTATTGAGTGCTTTGGCTAAATACCAGCCTGATTTAAAGTGCATCAGGACAGGACCAAAAAAAAAAAAAAAACCAAAAACACACATACTCGCTCTGCCAGAAATCCAGTGCACTCCTAACTTTTGTTTGGGGGTTTCTTCACTTTTCTCCACTATAATCCTCCTAAGCAGCGACTTCAGCCCTGCCTGAATTCATCTCTGCTGGCCTACAGAACTCTGCCAATTCTCCACCCTTCTCTATATGCCAAAACTGATTTCCCAGCAAAAGAATTCTGCGGCTTTTGGTTCCAAAGAGTCTGTCCACAGAGGAAGAGTGGTTTGAAAGCTAGGTGAAAAGGGTTGGGAACTAGGACATTCTGAAGAAGAGGATGAAAATTTTGGGTTCGTTTAGGTCTGGCTATACAAATTCTATAAAGCATACAACTTGTTACTTGACAGTATGTTAGAAAAAGTAATGTAAAATTCAACTCACACTTACATTCTTCTCTACTTTCCACTTCTATCTCAGTTTCAGACTCCTTCTCCTCTTCCCGAGTTGTGACAGAAGGAGTGGGGGCTTCAGGTGCTGGGGGCAGTTCTGCTGTGGGCCTTCGTTTTCGAGACTGAGCAGGGCTACCTGATGCTTGAGTACTTCTTGGTACAGCAGGTGCACAAAGAGGGCTTGTGATGACTTTCTGTTGGGTTGGGGGTGCCAGGGCAACATTGGGGGCAACAAGGTTCTCAAAGCTTTTGTAATTATAAAAACTAAAAAAAAAAAAAAAAGAAAAGAAAAATATTAAACAAAATCACACCAACGAAAGACCCAAAATGTGATTTGCATCTTTAGAATTTTTCTTTTACCTATCTCGGATCAGGGTGGGTAGATGGGTTGGAATCTCCTTTTCATTTGCTGCAATGGCGGGGGACCAGGGCCGGAAAGCAGATAGGCGCTGGCGAGGGTGGACGTATCCCGTGTTCTGCAAAAAGTAAGAAAAAAAGTGAAGAAAAATAAAATGACGCACAAGTGCGCTCATGGTCATTAAATATACAGCCATGAATTTAGATCACACAAAGTGGTACAGGAAGGCAGGAGAGCCACAGCAACTGAACACTGGTGAGTCTTAAGAACTCACTTTTAAACGCAACTAGCAAATAATTCCTGTCAAGTAACTAATGGGCTGCAAAAATGCAATTACCTATTGCACTTCTGTCCTTAGCAGCTCTTTAAGGGCTCGTTCACATCCTAGTGCAGAGACGTCAGTTTTTCTGCACATGTTCTGCAAGGGCACAAAGTAATCGATTGTTCTCTATGCGCACTGTTCACACCACAACACTAGTATCATGTGCAGATTTTTTTCTGCTCAGGAATTTGCAACGTGTATAAAACTCACTGAAGTGAGCATGAATACTGGTGTAAACTGAAGTCTCTGCAAGTGAAATCTGTGCACAGTTTTTCTGCACATATGATGTGAACGAGGCCTAAGGCCTCTTGTATATGGGAGCAAAAAAACTCCACTTTTTAATTGATCTGAATATAGGTGTCTTTTCTATGGAACAATGCACACATATGTGTAAAGATCAGAAAATACAAAAGGGAGTATAGAGCTGTAAAACAAAACGAGAACATTTTACATTTGGAGTGCAGTAATTTACACACATAAGCCGTCTATACGCACTCTTCCGTGTGTATGCTGCAACATTAGCATTAAGAATTTTACGTGTGTATACGCACCCTTACACGTCTTTATGCAAGGTCTTTATGGAACATTTTACTCAGGAACTGTCTCAAGATAGTGAGTATAAACATCAGTAAATTATTATGTCTGTGTGCAAATGGCCTTAGCTTAAAAGACATTTACAGCTATGTGTCCTTTCCCTTGATGAAAAAATAAAATAAATCACCATAGACTCGGTTTTACTTTTAAACTTTCTAGAAATGCAATCATTCAATGAGGTCCTATTCTGAAAATGAAAAATAAAACTATAAAAAAATATATTTTAAAAATGGATGGGGATGCAACATAGCCCCCGAAATATCATTACAGCATCCAGGACTATCCCACAATATGGGAGCCTTATGGACAAACCCATGGCATTATGAATATTGCAGCAATCATTTAACACATGGATTGTTGGAGGGGGAACAAACCATTGACCCATCATCACATGTACAGCAAAGTTACAAGGCAACCCTCGAGCATGACCCTGCTCTGTGTAAATGAGAAAGCCTCTTGTGATCCTGTTCTATTCATAAGCTTAGTGGTCTCAGTTTACAAACAGAATGCAGAGGCGATACTCCTGTGAGCTGTATGATTTGTGTGTCATGTCACAGGCAGCTGGGACACTTGGCTATGCCATGGCTGCAATTTAGCTGTCTGGCTTCTTCACCTGTGCTACACACCTGGTTGGACATATATAACACTGCCTGTGGTTTTTGGCTAGGGTCTGCATGCTCATCTTTCATAAGCAGCCGCTGCTGTACATTCCTTGCTCCCTCCATAGGTTGCCATGTTGGCCCTAATTGCTTAGCAACTTTCACTGGAAAGGATGAGCCAGATTATATTTAAGACCCTGAGCAGTTGTTGCCTGCCAATAAATATGAAGCTTGCATAAGATCCTGCTGGGGTTATGGGGCGAGGAGGGACTGGGAAGTTGTGGAGTCTGAGGCATCGGAAAGCCACTTGCCTCATCTACCAACGTGTGCCAAAACCCTAGCTCAAAAGAAAAAAAAAAATAGGCCCAAGTCTAGTCTACTTTCTCACATTAACGAAATGCAGTTGGCTGCAGAATTTCTTTTATCTGTGTTTATTTTAGCACACAATTGTTTCACCTCATATACAAAAAACATGCATTGTGAAGTTTTTTTTTTTTTTTAAAGATTAAAATAGCTCTTTAACCACTTGGCCTCCTGAGGATTTACCCCACTCTTCCTGACCAAGCAATTTGTTGCGTTACGGCACTACGTTATTTTAACTGACAATTGCACTGTCATGCAACACTGCACCCAAATGAAATTTACGTCCTTTTTTCCCCCCACGAATTGAGCTTTCTTTTGGCGGTATTTGATCGCCTGTGCATTTTTTTTTTTGCAAATTTTTTTTCTTTTAAAAAGACCAACAATTTTGAGGGAAAAAAAAACTATTTTTGACTTTTTGAAATTAAACATGTGATATATACATTTTGTGATATATTTAGGCCAAAATGTATTCTGCTACATGTCTTTGCTAAAAACAATTCCAATACGTGTAAATTAATTGATTTAAGTAAAAGTTGTAGAGTTTACAAAAGGCGTTATAGATACTGGATTTTTTTTTATTTTTTTACTAGCAATGGCGGCGATCAGCAACTTATAGCGGAACTGTGGCGGTCATTCTGACACTGGAGGGAACTGACTTGGTGTCACTGACATCCCCAGTGTCCCCAATACAATGATCAGTGCTTCAAAAAAAAAAATTGACACTGTACTAATCGCACTGGGCAGGAAGGGGTTAACATCAGGGGCAATCAAAGGGTTAACTGTGTGCTGTTTCATAGTAAGCTCTGTGTGTGTGCTTCACTGTAATCACACTGCTTTGGATGGCCGTGCTGTGCACAGCCGCCATCCAAAGCAGTGTGTGCACAAGCTGACAGGGAGGAGAACTGTATTGTTTATGTAGCGTTCTCCTCCTCATCGGAGATCCTTGGAAATCACTGGGCACTGGCAAGTAATCACCAGCCGAGACCTGGCGATTGACAGCTGAGGATGGCGGCATGGGTAGGGCACACGCCCCCCCCCACCCACCTGGACAGATATATATATATACATACATACACACACACACACGTGATTTGCATCAACTTAAGGGTTCAGTGCAGAGATTAGATGAACTTGCCACCCAGGCGTTAGAATTATCAAAATATGATTAATTTTGTATTTAAAAATTCCTTTTACACAAACATCTATCCGAAGATGCCAGTCTGTCAGGTTTTTATTGCAGTTGCCCTCACTACCTGTGAATTTCTTTGGACTAGAGCATCTACTGATCTTTCACTCACATCGGTGACTTGTGTACTCTTAACAAAAGTGTGTAGAATACTGCATAAAAGTATGTAGAAATGTAAACCTACTTTGCTAGAGTTTGATAAATTCCGTAACCAGCTGGAGGACTTGTCCTTCTCAGTGGAGCTTGGGGAGTGGATGATGGCATCGTCTAATTTTGACTTTTTAGTTGGGGGCTCTGAGGAAATCTGTAAAACAGAAGACAGACATTTGAGATCACAGAAAGTCACATAACCCATCTTTGCATTCATTTTCCACAGCAGAAAAAAAGGTTCAGTGTTCCTAAACAGAAGGAATTTACATATCGCTTTCATTGTATACCCATATCATGGAAGTGATGAAATATGGAATTACCTTTGGCTTTATTGGTGTTATGCATTATGCCATTTAGCTGAAAAAGTATTTTGTGGATGACAAACATTTATATATAATCTTGGATTGTAAGCTCCCAGGATCAGGCCCTCCTATCCCTCTTGTATTGAACTATATTGTTGCTGTATTGTCTCCCTTTATATTGTAAAGTGCTGAGCAAACTGTTGGCGCTATATAAATCCTGTACAATAATAATAATAGATGTTTATTTTCATATATACACTAATGCAGCAGAAGGGCTTGCTGGCAAACATTCAAAACTTTTTTTTGGTTGAAGGTGTGTTACAGACCCCTTTCATGGGATTGAACTTGATGGTGCCCTCTAGTGGCAAGTTTAAAAACCAACAGAAAAATGCTGGGGAACACCACTACTATAGGTTGCCATAAAACACTCCAATGCCCCGCTTAAAAAAAAAAAAAAAAAATTAAAAATATGGACAATTTGCACCCCCAATGCCACCATGAAAAGATCTCCTCTTAGCAGTTTCTAACTTGACGGGACAGGCCAAATGTGATTTCAGCATGCTACCGGTTTTAGCAACGACTGAAATGGAACCAGTCCCTTTGAGTACCCTCTCGAACCCTCCCTATAAATGACAAACGTCTGCCTTCGCCTGCACATAGAAGGAATATTTTATGTGGCGTGCATCAGAACAGCATAGTCTATGTTTGTTTGTGATGGTTGTTAAGAGAATGACTTCACTCTGCCACAGCTGCACTGGATTCTGGGTAAAATGCCAACTCCTGCTTTGACTTTTCCACAAGTGGTTTGAATCTTGGACTGTAAATCACCCTAAAGCATAGAAAAGACCTCTTGGCAAGAACATCCTTCCTTTCAACACACACACACGTAAAAACGAACAGGGCGTCTCATGAGCAAAGTGCGTCAAATTCTACTTTTTAAAAAACTTACACTGTTTAGGCCCTACAAGAATTCCACATCTAATGTATCCCACTTTTGGAAAAGTACAAGGAATAGATTATCCATGTAAAACAAGAAATAAAGTTTGAAAAAAAACGCCATGAAATTCTTCAGGCAGGAACAGTTCCAAAACAGCAACCGGTCAACTGGATAAAGCAGTTTTAAAGGCAGACATGCTAACTTCAAACAGGATAGTGATTTTACAGGACAACCAACATAGTCTAGGCTGAATTGTACAATCGTAGTGCCATCTGCAGAGGCATCAGCAAGTGTAGGCCTTGCTTGTGCCATTTGGCAAGTGTCCCTGTCAGAAAACTGGCTGACAATTAGAAATCTCTGAAAACGGCAGTGTTTAGCTATAAGCTTTTTTTTTTATATATTGCCCAAACCAAATTTGCCATTTAAGAAAAAAAAAAAAAAAAAAAAAAAAACCACACACAACAATTACTAGGTGAAGACGTTCCGCTCTAACATCTTTGAGCAAAGATTGTTCATAAAAATGCAAACAAATCTGCAATTTTTTTTTTTTTGTTCAAGAAGGAAGCATTACCTAGTGCAAAGGCAGAACAGTTTTTTTTATTCAGACAAATGACACCAGTGAAGCACCCAAGCAGAGACTGCTTTCTGGAAATTCTGCACCATGGAATAATAGTGTGAAGAAAAAAAAAAAAATTTTACACGCTAAGGCAAGCCAAAACAGATTTTAGGAAACAAGTTAAAACAAGCATTTTCCCTCCTCCTTTTAACAAAAAAAGAAAAACAGACAGGGAGGGAATGGTTTGGTTCAAGTAAGTTTACAGGCTTTGGTCTCTGGCATGCCTGCCCAACAGCGCCAAGTATAATACATCTCGTTGTAGATAATAGCAAGTCAGACACCAGCGAGCAAAACCAGATTTGAACCAATGACCTCAAGGTGGAAATCTGTATATTCACACTGGCAAAGGCCCATTTTCCAGGGAGACCTGTTATTAAAAGTTCAACAACTTCAAACACGGTTTAGGAAAACGGGAAAAAAAAAAAAACAGTATTAGGTCGGCAGAACCGAACGGTTTCCATAAAATAAACCATGGAGGCCTTGTCATCATGTGGGTGCTGAGCAATGCAATAACATTGGCCGAGGACACGGCTCACAGATTCTGCAGTTACCGTTTGTAACGGTGGATCCTGCTTTGCTCAAGAGAAACCCGATTCACAATTTTCAAACCTAAACAAATTCTGTTTCTGATGAGTTTTATAGCTGGCCTTGTGTGCACAGATTTCAAGGGGGTACCCCTCAAACAAAAAGCAGAAAACTTCATTTAAAACCTAGATGATGACTTGACTACTACAGAAGCGAACAATGGTATATACCTGCAACCAACCAGCACGGCATTTTCCCTCATGTTTGACAATAGTCTGCAAGTAGAAAGGGGTGCCCTTCAACCAAAAATACAACTTTTTTTGTTTTTCAGAGCCAAAAAGGCTCCACTACTTCGCGCTAACCAAGTACCAAAATTCTCACGTTGCATTTTGATAAAGCTCTGCAGATACAGGACTGATCAAATCAGGACGGTCTAAACCCAAATCTAAACAGAGGTAAATATAGGTCCTAAGGACACACGGACAGGTTTAATGGGCTGAACATAATAAAAAATCACTATTCCCAAAGCTCACACTGCAACTACACTTTGCTGCTGCACCATTATGATTGATAAAAGCATTGGAGTCGGGTCCGTTTCCGTGTAGTCTTAGGGTGAGGTCTTTCCTGTTTCACTACCATCTCTTTTACACTGCAAGAACACTAGCTAGCAAAAACCACAACAGGCGCCTGTCTGAGACGTCTTACTTATTTGTTTAAGGCAAACCTCAAAGCTGTAGAATTTTATAGTGTTAAAAAGTGCTAGACAGAAATTCACAGTGGGTAGATCAGTATTTTACAGTGATCCCGTAACATCTGAGAAGGTGCCAACATTGCTCCTAAGTATTGGTGTACTAGCCTGAGGCCATTAGTGGGGTCATTCCCACTGTGCCGAAATAAACATCCCTCATAATTACATTTGTATCACATTATGTTATCAAGTATTCCTGACAAAATGGCCAGTTGCAGCTCTTCAGCTTTTGTGGTAGTAAAAAACTCCGTCAAGGACAGTTGAGGGGCTACAAGCTTCAAGAAAATGCAGATATTCATTTTGGAAGAACTACAAGTAACATCTAACAGAAAAGGAGAACATCCAGTAGAGGAAAGCACAACATAGCATGGCGCTGATTCCAGGCAAGCAGTGTCTGGATACCATTGTACTAGACAAAACAGACTTCAACACTAAACTTCAAGAGGCAGAATGTGTAATCAGAGACACTCGGTGTCTGAAGTGAGGATGAGTCTGTGTGCGAAAACAATTGCCTTCTTTAATTCTCTTTCCCTGTCCCAAGCCACTCCTTTCCTTGGTGCTTCAGTCTCCACTCTCTGTAGAAACAGAGGCTTGTTACCAGTTCATTGACAAAAGGCAAAACAGCACACAATGCATGCAATTATGATAGGGGAAAAGAAGACTTAAGAGTTAATCCTTCCACTTTCTCATTGGAATCACATATGGCCTTCTTAATCTGCTACATTGCCCAAACAGCACCATCTCTGCCCCCAAGAACCATCTACCTGCTTTATTAACATTAGAGACTAAATCAATCAGCTTGAGACTGTTCTGTTGCAAAATCAGAAGTGGGATTGAGATGGAAGAGAGCAGAAATACAAACTTGTGCTCAACTAGTCCATTAAGGGGCATAGAACACGAGGGCTAGAGAACCCCTTTTTTAAATGGAACCTCTCTTACCTAAACAAGTTCCTTTAAAAAGTTTGCCGATTCAGCTGGAATAAACCATTCCTGTCCTTCGAAGACTAAAATATCAGAATGCAAAACTTCCCAAAAATGGTACACCTGCAGGGGCGGACTAACCATTTGGAAACTCTGCCCGAGGGCCCGGGGTCAGTAGGGGGCCCCATGAGATGCCCCTGGTACCTTTTTCATAGGCTTTTTTGAGTTTGGGCAAGGACACAGGGGTCCCATGATCCCCTATTGCCCGGGGGCCCCGAGTTGTCAGTCCGCCCCTGTACACCTGTATTACATAGTCTGAAAGACTTGGTGTTTTTTTTTTTTTTTTTTTTAATCCAGTTAAATGTCCAGGAAACAATACTGCAAAATAGAAAAGTATTGCACAAGATGAATACTGATATGAACACTGGAATTGTTTGTCTTCTAGGAATCTGTCAGGCTGGGAAAGCTTGCAAAAGGGCACATTTTTATTTACTCATTTGCAAAGAGGTTTTTACTAGGGCAGAGGTAAGGACGGAGGCGCTTCATGATTCCAGACATGTCCATGGTTATATGCAAACACTGAGATTGGGCCCTGTTCCCACAACTGCAAGCATCTGCTGCTCCGAAGTAAAAAATCTCACCTTATGTTAAAGTGTTCCTAAACCCACAACCGTAAAATCAGTTCGTATAACAAGCATGCTTTACTGCATATACACACTGTGGAATCTAAGGGGTTAATCCCCTGCATTGTGCAAAAACGCGGTTCGATCCCATCTTCTCTGATCCTCCCCTTCTTATCTCCTGATGAGACATATCGTGTGGAGACACTCTGCTAGAGAGGGTTTTTTTTTCCTTTGGGAGAGTGCATGTAAATCAGCACAGGGCCAATCAACACTGTCCAGACAGAGGTCAGGGGTTCTACATTCTCCTAGAGCAGAAAGAAAACTCCTCCTACATCCTTTAACCAGTGCTCTGCTAAACACTGATAGAAGTCACAAGACTGCTATATACTGCTGATGAGAAATGGTATTTAACAGTTTATATTTACTAAAATAATTGCATTTCCATCTTCTGTGTAATGTGGGAGACCAGATATAGTGAATGCAGGGTCCGGGGTTTAGTAACACTTTAAGGCTACTTTCACACTGAGGAGTTT